ATCCTACTAATCTGCTTTAATTTCATGCTTAATAAGTAATTCCTAGCCCAAAATTGGCTTCACATGTGTATTTGTCCAAGACTGCTCATCTGGTAGTTTGACTATCGTAATGGCTATAAGGCATTAAATTTACATTCTGATTTACACATCAGTGTCCTTCAGTCTAGTTGGGGGAGAGACAAAGTCAAGATGAGCTGAGAGAAGTACTCTTCGGACCTGCAGACAGCAGAACTCAGTGGTTCTGCTCCAGCTCTTCAGTCAGGCAGTCAGTGCCCATCCAGGGATGTGTCCAGCCTCTCTGGCTGTTGGGTTGGGACCACATGACTCAAGGTCTCCTGAGTGAACCTGAGAAGTGATGTGCTATACCAAAGGCAATAAGAGCGAAAAGCAGCTCACCCTGTCTCTCCACCATCCCCAGTTCTAGAGACCGAATCTAGGATCTTTACACTTAGCTACATTTCCACCCTATTTTTGTATTTTTTGAGACAGCCTTCCTAAATCATTCATCCTGGCTCAGCTTCCCAGAGCACTGGAATTGTATCTATACCATCAAGTTTTGTAAGTACCATCACAGTCAGCTAAGGTGGCAGAACTTTTTTTTGGTGGAACTGGGGATTGAACTCAGGCTCTTGCGCTTGCCAGGGAAGCACTTATTCCACGGAGCCATCTCCCTGGCCCAGGTGGCAGAACTTTAAAATGAAGGTAGCCTGGTTTCCTGGGTCACCAAGTGTCCCCAAGCCCTTAAGTTTAGAGCTTGGTCCCTGCTGACAGTATTGTTGGGAGGTGGGACCTCCCAGGAGGAAGTTAGGTCACCAGAGGGGAGGCCTTGAGGGAATCCTGGGACTTCAGCTCTTTCCTGTCTCTTCTTCCCAGCTATCCTGAGCGGAGCAAGTTTTCCTCTGCTATGAGCTTCCATGACATGCTCCTGGTTACAGAAAGAAAAAGTAACTGGGCCAACCTATGACAGACTGAACCTCTGAAGCCACAAGGTGAAAGGATCTTTCTTCTGTTTCGCTGCCCATCACTAACACAAGGGACAGCAGTACTAAAAGCTTCCTGGTGGGACAAGAGCATGAAACGAGGCTGGGCTGTACTCCTGAGGCCTGCGCTTCCTGCTGTTGTGAGCAGACTCGAGCGCCCCCAGTCCTCTTGGTCACAAGGTACAACAGGAGTAGCTGGCCCTCCAGGAGAGCCAAATCCTTTGCTTTGCATCAGCTACCTGGACCAGAAGAGAAGCCACCCAATGTCCAGGTCTTACTGTGGTAGGGGACACTTTTTTGTTGTACAAAATGACCACCCACAAAATCAGGAAGGAAAAGGACTCACCCTTGCAAAAGGTAACATTCTTCGTTTGCCTATTTCTTTGGTCCAACTCACCCAGACTTCTGAGCCTAGAGCTTAGCACATAGTAGGTGCTCAATATTTATCAGATTTGCCTTGGAAAGGGCCAAAGAGTCAGATTCTTCTTGTACAAAGTTACAGTCATTGAGCATTTATAAAGAAAAAGTTTATTTTCATCACAAGAAGCACACAGACTATATACAATACATACCAACAGAAGTAAAAAAAAAAAAGTGCATTATGCATCTTCTACTGCAAATTCACAGTACAAAAAGATACTGCTTTTTAAATATATAATATAAAAATCAAGAAGACAATAATTAAAAAATCATTGACATTGTAACGCAACACATGGGAACCCACCTGCAGCTTCTAAGAAACCAAAGAGTAACTTGTCTGGTGGAGTTCCTAATTGGGGCTGGGGGAGTATCTGTACCTACATTTTGTTGCAAAAGAGCTCAGGACACTGACGGAAAATAGGATAGCCTAGGTGGTAAGTGACGGCCTCTACTGAATAGGAATACAAATCGTGTGATGGTGATGGGGGAGGGAGGGGGGTGTGGTTCAGAGGGCCCGGGGTTACAACACTTCCCAGCTGGATGGCAAACCAAATCGCGTGTTTTCACTGGCTACCGAGGGATGCAGTGTCAGACAATGGCAGCCTGGCCTGCAGGAACAACCAGTGCTATGTACAGAGGCTCCCTGGAGTGCCTGTGGATGCACAGGGTCAAACTGCATGGCAGAATCAACAGAAGTCTGAGGACAAACTCAAGCCCTAAGAACAACTACTGTGGACAAGACAAAGTCCCCAATCACTGAAGATGGATTTTACAGTTTGCATAAATACACAGTATTTGTAAACTATTATTAAGGCACTCAATTGTAAAACAATAATTACAGTGTAGGAATGAGGGGGAGCAGCTATCTTTTCATGCAGCAAGTCCCTGGGTCAGGGCAGCAAAGGCTGGGCGGTCTGGTTCCAAAGACATCAGGTTCATAGAGGGGCTGAAGGACGGAGTTGCAGCCTGACTGTCAAACAGGAACCAGACACTCATGTGTCTTCAGATGGACCTGGGGCCTGCACTGGGCAGCATCCCTCCAGATGGACCTAGGGGATGCCTTTGTAGCTCGAGACACAGCAGGGCAGGTGTGTGGATGAGAGAAATGATCACATGGTATATTTTATTCAAATATATATATATATATATGCATATATATATATATATATATGCATAGTAGACTTGTTCAACTGCGGAGTAGACAATAACAAAGCAAGTGGCTACACACAGGGGCAAATCAATGACCTTCATTTAGCCTTGATAGCAGTAACTTGGAGGGTAGAACCAGAATAAGTGAACTGAGTTTGTGCTGTCCAGATGTCACCAAGTTTCTGATCTACACAGCTCCCTAGCCAAAGGTGAAGTGGTTGCCCTCAGGGTTATGTGTGGGGTGCCCAGCTAACTAGCAGGGCTGAATTCTGACACCCAAGAATTTTCAGCTAACAGAATACAATTCCTTTCTCTTCAAGTACTTTGGGGCAAGTTACCTAATATGACCTTAGTATGCTGCAGTATTTGCTCCTGCAGGGGAGAAAGTCCTGGGGAGTTCACAGCCTTTGGCCCTGAGATAGGATGCAGAAGTATTGTATACAATTGCCCTGAAGGTCTATTCATGCCCAGTCCCATTCTGTAGCATCCTCTGGGCTACGATGTGCTGCAAGGGCTTCAAAACTGACTGGAATGCTTTTGAGCTGGAGTGAGTAGGGCAAGCGGAAAAGAGTGGAGTGTGGACAATGCAGCCCTCTGTGAACCTGGTGAGTAACATGCTACTGAGCAACAGGGTGCGGTGGAGAAGGCCTGCCACCTGCAGTGGGCTGCTCCACAGGCCGAGGACAAGGTGGCAGGGAGGGCACAGAGAAAGAAACCACGTTTTTAGAAAGTTTGTGCAACCAGGGACATTGCTAGAGACCTCTGAAATAATGCTTAAGAAATGGAAATTGGCACTGTCAAGATTCTGGTCAGAGGGCAACCTGGTCTTTCCTCTGTGATCTTATGCTTAATAAAACCTAATAAAATGACCTTCTGTATCAATGCAAGACAAGGATGTAGCAAAGTTCGGTCTAACTTCTGGCATGCCATCTCAATAAAGGCAGGCAGAAGGGTGAAAGCAGCCTACAGAGAGGGGTTGGGCAGATCAGAAAATGTTCCTTTTTCCTTCATCAACAAAGGCATCAATGAGGATGACAGTCGCCAAAATCAATGACTTGTACAGCATCAATCTACATTCTCTGGCTGCCTCTTTTGTGCCACTTACGTTTGAAATTTTCCTAAGGTTACATACAAAGCATGAGCCACATTGTGGCACATCTTAAGGAACAAACTTTTTTTTGATTACCAGTATGACTTTGTGCCAAAGAGCCCCTAGGGTAGCAGGATGCTTTTGCTCTGCTAATCCAGTACTGTGAAATTGCTGTCTGTTTACATGCAGTGAGTCTGAGTCTCCAAGAACAATATCCATCCCTTCCTGTCAGTGTGAACCATCGATGAATCACAAATGCTTCATTGGTTCTGCTGATGGGGACCAATGCCCTGCTCTGCCTGGATGTTGGCTGATGTACTAGCTGTGCTAAAAAAGAATGGGTAGGTTTGCCAAAGACCCACTTATATTCATAATCTTCCTTGCCTTTCTCCTTAACTGGGCAAGAAAAAGTACAGTTTTCAAAATTAAAGTTTAAAAAAATATAGCACCCTTCTACATAGATGTATTAAAAAATCAACAAAAGCCTATCATTACATTTAAAGGATTTCATTGACACAAAAACTGGTCTACATGAAATCTAATTTGGCAAAGCATAATTGAACTTGATAGTTTTTTAAAACTATGCTTTTGTTGGCTGAGGAAGAGTGGGGAAACGCCACAGGATTTCAGGAATAAGTGGATAATCTCCTTGTAAGGTGATTTCAATTGACACTATAGGGAAAACAAATTCCTATAAAATAAAGTAACACGTATTTTTAAAAAACCAGCCAGGGAGAAAAAAAGTTCTTGGAGACAGTGTTTGCCCAAACTCTCTGCATTAGTTGAAACAGGAACCGGCTTTCTTCCCGAAGCCCGTCTGTCTGTTCTCTAGCACTGTTTTGGGGGCCCAGTTCTGGCCCATGGAAGATGGCAACCTCTGCATCTGCTTTCCAAACTCAGGTGGCCCTGGAGTGCTTTCTGGTTTACCGAGCTACCAGGGCTGATCCAGCAGAGGTGGAGCTGGGGCAAGCATCTGCTCCCCACACACTGCACAAGAGAAGTGTATGTGGGGGGAGCTGGCAAAGCCTGGATTTGGGAGAGCAGAGGTTTGGCCTAAGGTATCCACAACATGCAGGAGGCCTTCCAATTTGCCTTCTGCAGGAACACAGGCAGCAAAGGTCTACAAAAGGCCTGTCTGCAAGTATCTAAGGCTCTGCATGAACTCTCTTACATATTATTTTTTTATAATCCTTCAAAAATGTAAAAGCCATTCTTAGACCACAGGGCTATATACCAGTTTGCAGGGCCCTGAACCAAGCCCTTTTGCCTTTCTCCAGAGCTGCTTCTCTTTCTTCAAAATATCTGAGCACTTCACCTTGCTGACAGACATCAGGTGAACTGCTGGACTTAAGCCCCAAGCTGTGAGCCACCCTGAGTTTACCTGGTTCTTCAAGATACTATCGTGAAGCTGAGGCTTGGGCTACAGCATCCTCTACTCCATCCCTGCTGCTGGGAGAGCTGCAGAAATGCGAAGCAGTGCTTTCCCCACAGCAAGGGATGGCTGTAAACCTGTGAAACTTTCAGTCTCACTGCTCAGACAGGCTGCTCAAAGTGGCTCTTGGAGTAGGACCCATGAGAATTTTGCCCTAATATCCCTTTGTCTCCCAAATAACAGTACATGAGACCTGTAAGTCTGAGGGTCAGGGCTTCTGGCAGGACAGTCCAATCCTAGAGTTACTGATCCAGTGTTCCCAACTAAGACAATGTCAGCCAGTCAGCAGGAGACTCGGCTCCACAACACTTTGGTGTGCATCACCAGGAAAGCCATATACTGTCCTCACACACATTCCCCTCGTCTGACCCAGGTGCCAGCCTAGTGCTGATCACCCACTCACAACAGAAACACGACAGAAGACTTGAACTGAATAGGAAACTGCCTCTTAGCGCAGCACAAGTTCAGCAACAGGGCGGGATTTGTCTCCCTGCTGACTTTACCTAGCAATGATCTGCTTGGTGCAGTCAAGCTGAATGAACATCTGAACCCTTTTGGGGTTCTAACTAACAAAACAAACAAACACCTGTTTTGAAAAACTCTGACACAGCATTATTCCTTGGAATGAGCCTTGGTCATTATTGTATTTAAAAACAAAAAGCATAGCAGGAACAGAGGTAGGACTCATGTTGCCATCCCAGAGTTCTTCCAAGAGGGCCAAAATGAAACATGGGCCGTGGCGATAATGTCACCACCATGACTCTTCTGTGTGTTGCGAATGGAGTATTTTGGATGCATGTGCCTATCTGTTTGTGTTTTTAAATACATGATTCTTCTTAAAAACAGAGTGTGTATCTACTGACTGAAATTCCTGGGTCTCCCAGGCCACACACTAGTACCTGTCCTTTCTTCTTGTGCTGTAAAATAATTTTGTTTCTCCTCCTCCTATGGCAAGAGGGAGGAAATCCTGGATGACTTTGGTTATTTAAGACAAATCAAGGTATAAAGGATGGATCCAAATCTACAAGGAAACTCAGGGAGAGACTGTAGGAAAATGTAAGTCCAGTGAAGCAAAGGGGGGGGGGGGTCAGCTTCTGCTCATCCTCAGGAGGCTTTTCAAGTTTTCTGGGGCAGATTTCCCTGATGGTTTGGAGGTTGCAGCAGGGTTCCTTGCGGTGGCCTGGGGTTCCTGCAAGGAAGATTTGCTGCATTGAGCATCCTGGGAGTCGGCGGTAGTGGCTGTGTCAGCCTCGCTAGATAGGTCTTCTGTGGAGAAGTTTAGGCTTCCCAGCTTGGCAAGAGAGTGAGAGCGCTTGAGTGGGGATGAGACAGTGAGGCCTGCCAGCCGGAGCCGGGTCTCAATCTCCTGGGTTCGCTGCTTCACCAGCCCTGGCTTCCCCCGGACACTGTGGATGCTGTCGCTACTAGAGCTCCGTGTCAGGTTGGAGCTCATGGAGGAGGAGGTGGGGGTGTAGCAGATGGTCTTCAGGAAGTCTTTGGAGAAGTTACTGGTATGGTCCAGGCGGGACAGGAACGGAGGGGGGCTCTTCAGCAAGGCTCCTTCCAAAGGCAGGGGGGTGGCCTCTGATTTGTCATCACCCCCTGCCTGGCCAGGCAGAGCCAGGGGCTGTGGCTCCTGGAGTGCAGCCAACTCCTGGCTCTCCTCGGGGATGCTATCTTCCAGCCTACTGGCGGCACCATCCCTGGTGGCAGATACTGTGTCCATGGGCAGGCTCTTCAGCTTCTCTAGCTCTTTGGTGTGCTTGCGGACCAGACCTGCCTTCTGTAGCTGAATGATGGACTCCTGGTGCTGCATCAGGTAGCTGTTGGTTGTTGGTTTCTCAGACTCATTACTGAACAGAAGCCGCAGGTCCTTAGCTGGCTTCAACTCCTTCTTGGGTAATGAGTCTTCCTTTACTTCCATGCTGGGAGAGTTCTTGTCACAATGAGAATTCTTCAACAGGAAGGACTTAGGTAGGACTTTTGGGGTCTCTCTGGACAGTTCTGGGAGGGTAGGTGGTACCTCAGGGATAGCCCCAGCCACACTGCCACTGTTCTCTGGTCTCCTTGAAGCTGCTGCTGGTGGCAGTGGGGGACAGTCAACTGCACCACAGACTGGCTTCTCCAGAGTTCGGGACCTGCTAGACACGTGGGCCACAGAGGAAGATGTGATGTGGGGCAGGAAGGCGGGCTGTGTACAGATGGCAGGAGCACTAGGGTCCTCACTTTGCTCCCTGAAGGCCTCAGGAGCCCTGCCAGCTGCAGGGTACATGCAATCGGCACAGGACTTGTAGGAAGGCTTGACTTTGGTGAGGATCCCAAACATGGCATCATGCTGGAAGGGGACAAGAACACAGGGAGACAATATAATCATGAGCCAAGGATGAAAATGATGGGGGCGGGGGAGCCAAGGAATGAGCAGGGTGTGGAACTGGGTATAAGTGCTTTCCTATGCTGAAAAAATGAGCTGCCAGAACTCACCTAAACAATACAGGGTGGTTAGAGGCCTGAGAAATACTGCACCAGATTTCCCAGAAGCCAAGTCCTGGGAACCTCTGCTTACAAGGCCAGAATGGTCAGGGCAGGGGTCCCAGGACCACCCTTGTCAACGTACCTCTGCTACCTGTGCTGGGTGACCCTGTTCTAGGCTGTGGTCTCATCGGGAAAGCAAGGTCACCCCTAGAGGTCACAGCACAAGGAGAAGGAAATGAGCATATTCCTGTCACAGAAGCACAGAAATAGGGCCTTGCTCTGGAGTACCCACAGCTGGGAACTGAGCCCCTCCTGTCCAGCACGAATACAGCATGGCTCCTGAGCCATCACCCAGCTGTTGTCTCCACAAAAGAGGTGACAAAGGACAAAACGGTTTTCTGGAAGGGTCCAACAGGGGCCTAAACACAGGTGCCTAGAGGCCTGGACCAGAGGGTCAGAAGTGCTTACACTGGTAGAAATGCCTCCCTTGCTTCCTGAGGAAATCCCCGCCTTCTGATCACCAGGACTCTGAGTGGATGAGACATGTGTCTCTACACCCCTGGCCTTCTGTGAGGCAGGGCAGCCATCAGGCCTTGCCAGGCAACTGACAGATGGAGTATGACGGAAGTGAGGCTATCAAGGGTAGGCAAGGGGAGATAACTGCACACTGTCCGTTGTGTGACCGTAGAATGATGCCTTTAGCCCCCAGTGGAGCCTGAGTAGCACCCCCTTCCCTGAGCACAGGGATTAATATCACCCTGTGTTGGTGACTACAGGGGAGGCGGTGGGTGGGTGGCAGGTTTAGGTGGGTGTATAGTGGTTCAAGAGGAGTCTTCCAGTAGATCTTCTCTCAGTCAGGAACACTGGCACCAGCTTCTGGGTTCTGCAGTCAGAGTTTAGTCTTGTCTAATCATGGGAATGCTAAGAATTCTTCTTTTTTTTTTGTGGAACCAGGGATTGAACTGAGGCCCTTGCACTTGCCAGGGAAGCACTTATTCCACTGAGCCATCTCCTCAGCCCCAAGAATTCTTGATGTAGAAATTTTTCTGAAGTTTTAACCAAAGTCCTTCATGTTTCCTTCTAAAACCCAAGTTAAAGAAATCTAGCACAGTGAGACTCTGAGAGCACAATTCAGAAAATCAAGGAGTGGCGTCGCCTGAAGCAGGCTCTCCATCTGAGGACAAGACACCACCCAACCTCCAGGGGATACCTAGTGCCCCCTGGTGGAAGCAGGGCAGAAAGCTACGTAAGAAGTGCCCACAGTCTCAGCACTTCTGGGAGGCTGAGAAAAGGTAATGGAAAGTTCAACATCAGCCTGTGCAACTTAACAACTTAGTGAGAACATGTCTCAAAATAAAAAATAGAGGGCTGGGGATGTAGAACAGTGCAGAGGCCTTGGGTTCAAACCACTTGTACAGAAAAGCAACAGCAAAACACAATGAACAACAACAAAAGAGCTAGAACTGTGATCTCAGTGAGGCTCAGGCAGGAAGATCACCTTGAGGTCAAGGCCAGCCAACACTGTAGAGGGAGACCCTGACTCAAAAAACAACAAACAACTTCCAATAACTATCAAAACAAAACTAAAAGGGCTAGAGATGCAGTTCAGCATGAAGGCTCTGGGTTCGGTCCCCCGGACCAGGAGATGAGCGTGCTGGTGAAGAGGGCTATGTGTGCACTTGAATCTCTACGGAAGGGAGCTCTGTGGAGGGATGTCCATCTTTGAAACAGGCAAGTGCTGCCCATGTGGAGGGAGAAGAGCACACAGACACTGAAGTGAGTGTGAAGGGCCCACGCAAAATGGGGTGGAGTAGGGCAGGAGGAGCACAGGGATCGCATCCCCATGCTCCCGAGCAGCGCATTCCGCTCCTCGCTCTGACTGTGTCCCAGTCATCTCAGGCTCATGGTCTGTGTTCTCACCTCATCAGTCTCAAAGCCTTCCAGGCTGCCCAGTGCCTCAGAAAAGGCACACAGCCCTGCCAGCACACGTCGAGAACTCACATTCTAGCCACCTCTCCAATGGCACCTTTCAAGCCTGCCCCTCCATCGTGTGGTGCCCAGCTCCCATTGCTCCCATGCCAAGGTCTCTCTGTCCTCAGGGGCCCGGAACCTGCTGCCCTCAGCCCACAACACTCTCCTCAGCCCTTTTCGCTGCTGCTTCTTTGTCCTGCCCTCACCAGCTCCTGTCACAGGTTAATGCACAGAAGGCTCACCACCTTTGTCCTCTTCATTATAGCCTCCTGTATTTGCCCTCATCGCCTCCCAAAACTGCATGTGGGGGGGGGGCGGACACACAATGACACCCCCAGCAAGTCTGGCACACTATGGTTCTGAAATGGAAGTCTTTAGGTCTTCATCTCCTGATGAGGTAATGCAATTAGTCTAATTCTAGAGGGAAAAGCCCACCTGAGACCTAGCTTCCCCCGCTGTCCAAGCCCCTCACCTGGTCACCATCCAGTGACTCACTCATGCAGCTTTGCACTAACCAACCTGCATCACTGTCCTCTTGAAGCAGGTTGTTTTTTTTTTTTCCTTTCTCTTTTAACATATTTGGCACAGGGTCTGACTATGCAGCTTGGGCTCATAGTGATCCTCCTGTCTCAACCTCACCAGTGCTGGGATTACAGGCATGCACTACCATGCCCAGTCTCAGGCTCAGTACACCTGGGGGCAGGACTGGTGCGACATGTGGTGCTGGGTTTTGAACCTTGATCCCTGCACTTGCTTAAGCAGGTGCTTAGTCTGCTATCTTACCGGCCCTTCTCTTGAAGCAGTTTACATCACTGTCTTAAGTAATATAAGCTCTCTGAGGGAAGTGTCAAGTAGTGGGGAAACCCGTAATGCCATCTGGTGTGGAAGAAATACATCCCATGACTTGTGGTCGGTGAATGAGCTTCCCAGTTTTGCTTGCACTGTAACTCCATGGACGCTACAGGCGGTTCCACTCGAGCGTCCTGCCAGTGTCCCCTGCGCTCTCACTTGAACAACTCAGTTGGCCTGTGTGGTGGGCAGAAGAGGCCAAGACGACAAGAAGTCCCTAACCCCGGGCCATGGGGAGCAGCAAGGGCTGAGGCCAGGCTGCCCAGCACACAACCAGCCCCTGCTCCCAGGCCACTTCCTGTTGGTGACACTGGGAGATGGGGCAGCAATGAGATTTTTCTGAATAAGCACAAGGCTGACCTTAAACTTGCTGCACACTGTTCACCAAGTATAGCAGTTACAGAGATGACTAGAAGTTGGAAGACTAGATACTTGGTAAGACTGAAAAGAGCAACTTTTTTTTTTGGAGACAGGGTCTATGTAGTGGAGGCTGGCTTGGAACTTGATTATGTAGCCCGTGCTGTCCCTGAACTCATGGCAATCTACCTGCCTCCATCAAATGCTGGGACTATAGGTGTGCACCACCATACCTGGCTACTGCTTCTTTTTAAAGGGTGGTCATGGTACTGTGTCCATATTAGAGTACCTGGGAACACAATGCTGCCTCTGAGATTTGTTGGAAAGTTGTCTCAGGTGAGAAGTGGGTGGGGTAAGCTGAAACATACTGATGCAGGCTGAAGTCAGGAGTTACATGTTTTACCCATTAAGGAAAAATAAAGGGAGTTGGAAGTATTACATCAGAAAGGAGTGAGAGTGTGGGTGGAGACAGCACAAAGGGTTTGGTTTACTCTCTACAGACCTGCCCAGCCCATGCAGCCCCTCTGCAGGAAGGCCTGGGGGGCTGGAGAGGTGATGACATGGAGCCAGACCTACCTCAAAGTCATCTGGGCAGCTTCTCTTGCTGTTGTTGTTGTTGAGGTTCTCCTGGTTGAGTGGGCTTCTGTCAGGCTGGCTTGGGGATCGTGCCAGCCTCCCTGATCTTGGGCCCTCTTCTCTGTCCATCTCCTCCACCTGGGGGGAGGAGCTGCTGTGGGCTCTGGGGCTCCCAAACTCGAGTCTCTTCTTTACATCCTTCTCACAGAGTGCAGTACCTTCCTGGGCTCGCCTGGCTGGCCTGAGTACCTCTGCTGGCTGGGTCACATCCTCCACCAGAGCATCCCTCTCCAGGTCCTCCAGGTGGACCAGGCTGCCAGTGTCATAGTCAGAAGAAGAGAGGAGGGGGTCTGAGAGTCTCCGGAAGCAGCAAGGGAGAGTGGACCCTCCTGGGGTAGGGCTTCCTGGGAGTCCAGGTTGGGCAGTATCATCTAAGCCAGGCAGCCTGCTGTCTGCTGGGGTGCTGTCCAGGGTCTCTGGCAAGAAGCCACTGGGCTCCGCAGTATCCTCCACAGGTGGCTGGAGGTTGCTTTCCGTTTGCTGGCGCCAGAGTTTGTTGTGCCGCTGTTTACTGTGGGGACAAAGACAGAGGAAGTGAGCAAAGAAGGACAGCAGCAGAGGGTCCCAGCAAGAGGCTGGGGTAGGGAAGAGCAAGCAAGGGACAGCTCAGACAGGCAGGAGCCAGGGCAGGCTCTGGGACTCTCAGTTCACTTGTTTGCAAGCACACGTGGATGAGAGGAAATGCAATACTAGGGCCCTAAGTCAAGGCTTGCATAAGAAACTGTATGTGGGGGGAAAAAATCTTATGTGACTTTTTTTTCCAGTACTAGGGGCTGAACTCATTAGTTTCACAGTAGGCTACATCCCCAGCCCTTTCTTTACCTATTTTTTAAAATTTTAAGACAGAGTCTTGCTGTTTTGCTTCCGCTGGGTTCAAACTTGCAAGCGCTTATTCTACTGAGCCATCTCCCTGGGCCTGGGTTCAAACTTGTGGTCCTCTTGTCTCAGCCTCCTAGAGTGTAAGGATTACCATGTATACCGACCACCATGCACAGCTAGGAAAGCCTTATGGGACTTCTTTTAATCATGTGGTGACAACACTGTAGATATGCACGAAGCCTTGATTTGTCATCTGAATCTCAATATGGCCCCATCACACTGTGTGAACTTCGTTACATTACTGATGCGCCTCCCTCGGTTTTTCCATGTGCCATCTTACACTAGTGACCCTCTCCTGCCTATCCCACAGGGAAATTAGGAGGACCAAAGCAGAAAGCGTGCTAGGCATGGTGGCGCACACCTATAATCCCAGCACTTGGGAGGCTGAAGCAGGGGGATTACCATGGGTTTGAGGCCTACCTTTGCTACATGTTGAGTTCAAAGCTAAAACTACACAGTGGGACCCTGTCTTACACATACACACAAAGCAGAGTATGTGGAAAGGTCTATATATATTAGTATAATTCTGTAAGCATGTAACACATATGAGTATTTTTGGGAAAGCTCCCCAAAGTATGTGTGTGTGTGTGTATTTTTTTTTTTTTGCAGAACCGGGGACTGAACTTAGGCCCTTGTGCTGGCAAGCACTTATTCTACTGAGCTATCGCCCCAGCCCCTAAATATTTCTTTAGATGTAAGAGGCAACAGATCAGCTTTAAATTCTTTTTCTTTCTTTCTTTCTTTATTTCTTTCTTTCTTTCTTTCTTTCTTTCTTTTTTTTTTTTCAGTTTTGAGGCATGAACTTAGGACTTCATCCATGGTAGGTAGTGGCTCTATTGCTGAATTATACCCAGTCCCTTTACTATTCTTTTTTTTTTTTTTTTAAATTTTTTTTATTTATATTTATTTATGTGTGTGTGGCCAGCTCAGCCCACCAGGGGGCAGGGCTGGCTGGCATGTGGTGCTGGGGGATTGAACCGCAGTCCCTGTACTTTGCTAAGCTTGTTCTAAGCAGGTGCTTTAGACCTCTGAGCCATCTCACCAGCCCCCCCCCTTTACTATTCTTTATTTAGTTCCTGTCTGTATTTGGTATGGGATCTTACTATGCAGATCGGACTTGTACCGATCCTCCTGTTTTCAGCCTACCCAGTGCTAGGATTACAGATGTGTGCCACAGGTGGCTGGCTCAGCAAACCCAGGGGTAGGGCCAGCACAGCACAAGGTGCCAGGGATCAAAGTCCAAAGTAGGCACTTAGTTTGCTGAGCTATCTTGCCGACCCTATACTATTATTTTCAACATAGAGGATTGAACCCAGGGTCTTCTCACTAAGCTATATCCCCAGCCCTTTTTAAAATCTGTCCAGGATGGATTCCAACTTATGATCCTCCTGTATCAGCCTCCCAGGAGAATTTTTTTTTTGTGGTACTCAGGACCTTGCGCTTACCAAGCAAACACTTATTCTACTGAGCTATCTTCCCAGCCTCCCCCCCTCAGGGAAGTACAGATGTGTTCTAGCACACCTACCTTTATAATATATTTTTAAAATATAAGAAAAATTAAAGACAGGAAAATGGGAGAAGAGGCAGAGAAGAGAGAAAAAAAAAAAAGAATGTTAAGCATGAAGTAAGGTAACTAAAGCTACACCCTGAACATCAGAGTAAGAGTAACTGGTAGAAGTGAGGGTAGATGTGAGGCTTAAGACAAGGGAAGTGTACAAGCAGTGTTAATTAGGGATGTGTTACTCTTTCTTGGTGCAAAGGAACTCATAATCATTTACTACGTGCTCCATGTGACAATTCTCCATATTGGGCTGTGACAATGCTGTGCTGCTATGAACCTGGCCCTGAGAACTCTGGTTAGACTGAGGGCAGCAAGTGCCTGACAGGCTAAAGGAGAGAGCAGGATGCATGCTGGCCCCCTCTTCCAGTCCTGCCTGGGATCTGTCCAGTCACTCTCTGAGTGACAGTGAAGGAGTCCAGAGATATCCAGGGCTGTTCTCTGGACCCTTTCAATGCTGCCAGGGCATTCTTGCTTTCCCAAACTTGGCCAAGAAACTGGAGGACTTAGCTTCTGGCTTTCCTCCAACTTGTGTTAGAAATTTCCAAAGTAGGCCTCCCTTCCCTACAGGCTGAATGGAGGGCAAGAGGGAGGTAGGAGAGAGCATGCTGAGCTATAGGCTTCTCAGAGCATCTGCAGTACTGTGTTGCAGTGGGGACCTGTGTGGCATCAGCAAGGGAGCCCCACCAGTGGGCCCTGAGTGGGATAACCTTGGGGTTGCCCTCCTGGAGTGCCCCCCGCTAACAGGGCTGACATGCCTGCTGTGCAGTATGGGAAATGTGAACCTCTCCGCCTTAATTCTCTATTCACCTTTTAAAAAGAGGAGCGCTGGACTTTGCAGACCTTTTCGGGGTGGGAGTTATGTGATCCTAGCTGTATTTACTGACTACTTACTAGGGCCTAGGCGGCAAAGAATCTATGAAGGTAAATTGTCTGTTCTTATGCAAATCTCAAAACAGCCCTATTTGTTGGGTGTTGATTTATTTTTTCATTGTGGTTAAATGCACATATTATTCTTGCTATCTTGATCACTTTTAAGTATACACATCTCAGCAACATTAAATACATACAAAATGCGGTGCAACTATTGTGGAAATGTGGCTCCATAACTTTCCCCCAGTAACAGGGATTGAATCTAGGATTTTAGCACTGAGTTACACACTCTATCCTTTTTATTTTGAGACAGTCTTTTTTATGTATTTAGTAGAGGGCCTACAGGGTCTCGCTACACAGATCGGATTCATAGTGATCCTCCTGTTTTCAGCCTCCCAAGCACTGAGATTACAGGTGTGTGCCATCACAGCACACCAGGGATCGAACTCCAGTCCCCGTTCTATCTTAGTCTACTGAGCTATCTGGCCAGCCCTTTGAGACAGTCTTATCATCTCACTAAGTTGTCCAGGATGGACTTCTCCTGCCTCTGCCTCCCAGGGTGCTAGGATTACACGTATGCACTATGATACCTAGCTCTGCAATTAATTTTGCAAAACTAAAAAACTGTGTACCGGGGAGCCAGGGAGATGGCTCAGTGGAATAAGTGCTTCCCTGGCAAGCACAAGGGTCTGAGTTCAATCCCCGGTTCCACCACAAAAAAACCAAAACAAAACAAAAAACCTGTGTACCCATCGAACACTAACTCTCCCTTCCAGCTCCTGGCAATCATAGTTTCTTTCTCTCTGAATCTACTATATCTATAAATGAAGTTCCACAGTATTTATTTTGTTAATAGATAATTTTACTGAGCACTTTTGTTTCCAGCAGAACTTCTTTTGTTTTTTTTTAAAGGAGACAGGGGTCTCACTTTTTACCATGTAAGACAAGAAAAAGGAGGGCTTGTCCCTGTTACCCAGGATGGCCTGCAGCTTCTGGGTTCAAAGAACACTGTCTCAGTCTTCGCAGAGTGGGGACTACAGGCACGTGTCATCATGCTCAGCTAAAATTTCCTTTCTTTTTAAGGCAGAAAAACATTCTGATGTATGTGTGTATGTATGTATGTGTCACAATTGATCGGGGTATACAAATGCATCACATAAAGGATGTCTCAACTCTTTCAGACATAAACTGAAGTGGAAATGCTGGCCACTCTACTTTCCTGAGGGATTACCATTCTGTCTTCCATAGGGCTTGTAGCATCTGACCCTTGGGTGGGAGTGAATTCTTTACTTGGAAGAGGGAACTACAGCTCAGGTGCTTTCCCAGCTTCTCTATGGTGAATCTGCCTGATGGCCTCTGCTATTCCTTGGCCTGCCCCACCACGAAGCCTGTGGTCCAGGCTTGGCACAGAGCAGGTGCTCAGGAAATGGGATCTGCACATATCCACACCACACACCAGGTCAGGCCTTGGATAAAGAGTTAGGCACTTTTTCCTCTGGTAGCAAAACAAGCTTTATGTGTGTGCCAACAGAATCAAAACGGATCCCTCCTGGAAACCACTCATCAAAACCCAAACAATGGTTATTTTTCTCAAACCAGCTCCCCCCACAAAGAAAGGCTTTTAGCTGCAGAAGCTGCTGCCAGGGCCAACAGGAACAGGCTGGAATGTTACAGGCGCCTGGCAGGCTTGGCCACAGGACTCCTCCAGAGCTGAGTCTGCCAACCTGCCTCTCCAGGCAGGCACCCACCTTGCATCCAAGATGCCTTCATACTCAGACAGCTGCCTCATAAAGCCTGCATTGGGTCGTGTGATGCTACGCTTCTGCTTCACATAGTTATATGCTTTTTCCAGGGGCCAGCCAAATTCCTTCATCGCATAAGCTATGACTGTGGACGCAGATCGGCTGACACCCATCTTGCAATGGACCAGGCACTTGGAATGATTCCTCCTGCAGGGTGGGAGTAGTTTAAGGGGGAAAAGGATTACTAATCTTTAGTAACTTCAGTGTTCAAGCTTTACCAACTGATACTTTTTTAAGCCCCAGAGTTATCTCCTGGCTGAAATCCTCCTGTGTCTTAATGTTTATGAAGCAGATTCCATGCATCCTCTAAAGGAAATAACTTGGCTGTGAAATCAATTGGCAAACAATGGGAAATCAAGATAAATCTTCCCTGGCCTAACCCAGCTTTCCAGGCTGACTTCAAAAGGCTTGGGGCTGTTTTCAGGGACAAAGTTGGAATCTTCTCAGTCACTAAAGAGGCTGGGTCACCTGCAACCCTTTCTTGGGTAGCAACTGGGTAACTAAAGAGATTTCTGCAACAAGCTGCTCAGCTGCTATAGCAGATGGAGACACTGAATAAGGTACAGTAGAAAACAGGGTCCGTGAAGCAAAACTACACAGCCCTAGGAACACCGAGTTGCTCTTGTGGAGCAGGGCTCAGGATCAAGAGTCAGAATGGCAGCAGCGCTGTCTCAGCCACAACAAAAAGTGTGTGTGTGGTGGTGGTGGTGGGGATGGGCTGATTTGCTACCTTAGAGGAGGTAGTACTGGCCAGGTGCCATGACTTCAGAAACAGTGCACAGAAGGGAACCCTAAGCTGCATCCAGCAAACTGTATTGGTCTGGAAGGCTGTCCCACCAGGTAAAAGCAGGGACCAGGCTCCTATACTTGAGGTTTTAATTTTCTCCCCAAATTGCTGCACCCCACCCCAAATCTCCATCAGGGAGCCCTGAATAAATCCCCTAGGAAAGCCAGAGGCCAAGAAGAGATTTTGGTAAGAATATATCATGTGGCTTTGACCTAGAGGTGTACAAAGGAAGAGGGTGCTTCTCTTGGTAGCATTTAAAGGGTTATCTCTTGGTCTACAGGATTTCAATAAGATAGTTGATCTACAGGAGACAAAGGATGATTGAGACCACTGACGGGCTCAGTGATAGTGGGCTGACCCCCACTGGTGCTCTGTCCTGATTTAGGTGCACAGGAGCAGGAATGCTGTGCTAAGAGAAAGCTCCTCTTTGGGGTCTCCCTTGGCCCTACAACTCCCCACAGAGAAAGTTCCTCAGTGTCTCTTGGTATTAGATCCTTGCCTGCAAACAGAGCTGATGACAAAATCTGGGCTCAATGTCACATTGAAGGTAGGTGGGAGAGAATGAGCTCTCAGGTCACAGATAACCAACATCTGTTCTCCTGTGGGGCCCGGGATCCCCAGACCTCAGAGACTCTTGGAAGCCAACTTCTATGTTGGGGTACTGCCTCTCATTCTGCCCAGCCAGGCTGCTGGTCAGTGTCTTTGCTGGATCAGCTTCCTTGCCCACTTACTTTGCTTTGTTTATGAAATGATATGCTTCGTTCCAGTGGGCAAGAAGATCTGTGGTCTCTTCATCATAAACTCGGATGTTGTGATATGCAAACAAGCCAGGAAAGAAATTGTCTATTTCTCTGGTGACATTTAAAATGTAGTCAACCCTGCAATGAAAAAGAAAAAAAAAAATGCAGACTCAAAATGAAGAACTAGAAGTTAAAAGTAACAAAATCTGACAGAAAAAAATAATGTACATGAATAGAATACATTTCTAGTGGGATTTTCTTTTCCTTTAATAGTTTTTAATTTCCTTCACATGAGAGTATATTCTATTTATACCAAAAAACCCTCTTACTTAAAAAATATTATTTAAAAAAAGAGAATTTAGTTATAAGCATTTCTAAGGAAATAAAGATGTTACATAAATATATTTCTAAATTCTTAAACTTTCAAATTTACAACCACTAATAGTATAGAGAATTAGCCACGCATGTGGCACAAGTCTGTAATCCCAGCTCATGGAAGGCTGACACACGAAGAGCTCAAGTTCAAGGCTAGCCTGGGGCAATTTAGTGAATTCCTGTCTAAAAAAAAAAAAAAAAAAAAAAAAGCTGTGGATATAGCTCAGCACTTTCTAGGTCAAGTTGCTAGTATTGCAAAAGAGAAAAAACAAAAGAGTACACAGAGGTTTAACAACAAAGAAATCTGTACTCACACAGGTAAAATCAGAATATACCCATTATCACTTATTCTTGGGAACTGCCCCTTTTTTTTTTTTTTTGAGAACAAAGGCAAGATATAAATAAATATTTGAACGAGCCTGCTAATTCAGGTTCTGTAGTTCAGTATACTTAAACAGTATTTTTTTACTTGTGGAAGACCAAAATAACTTTAGGAATTAGAAAATATCTCACAGTTACAAGAGTGAATATAAGTGAATACTTATAAAATATTTTTTAAAAATACCTTTAAAAATCACCTACTAAAAAGAATAAAAATAAAAACCACCTGCTTCCTCCCAACAAAAGGAAGCGCAGCGCCTCACCCCACATCTGAATACTCTGTTGACCACTTCTTAACCAGTAGTTCCAAAGATATATTTTAAGATTTGCTTAGTCTTGGTTTTCAAATGTAGTAATTCAAGAATGCCATCATGTCAGACCCACAGAATAGAGATTTTTGTGGCTATGTTGTTTAAAAAAAAACAAAAAACAAAAAAACAGTCTAGACACTTCTTGAAAGTCTAGGTTTAAACATCTTTTACTTCTGCTGCTGAGCATTTCTCAGAAACAGGCATATGTTCCTGGCTAACCTTATTTAGTTGCAAGATTCCCACCAGGTCCAGATACAAGCTCAGAAAGGACCAGGAACGGTTCAGTTTTCAGGGTTGCTGACTGGCCAAATGGCCAACAGAGATGTGCATCCGTGCTGGGATTCTCAATGACTTTGCAGGGCAGTGAGGTGGTGGGAGGGAGCTCGGAGCCTCGTCACATCCAGACCATCTTATACCATGTGAGTATGATTCAGAAAGCTTCTCCCTGCCACACACAATCACATGACTCCACCAAAATCTAAAACCCATGGATTCAGAATGTGGCATTTTAAAGCACATCTGTATAAATATGCAAATCAGCCCCTCTGGCCACTTTAGAGCATGGGCAGAGGCAGGCAGCCCAAGGTCTCAGCCTCCATGGCTGGTGGAGCAAAGGCTCCTGAGCTGCCCAGAAGACCAGGGAAAGACAAGGGGTGCAGACTCACCCTGAGCCCTGCAGCTCCTCCAGATTGGATGCATTCCATTCAGAACCCTGGGGGACAGATCACACAAATCCCCGTAAGTGTCACAGTTAGCCTCAGAGCTGCTTATGGGAGACACAGGTTACCCTAGCCTCCATGGTGGGGCTTCCTTTCATAGCCTGGCCTCAGTGAGAACCCGAGGTGCAGGCACCCATGCAGGTACCCAATGGTCTGCGGGAAACGCAAGTCCAGGGGAAACCTACTTCCTTCTCATTACTTCCTTTCCTCAGTTGGTGATCACCAGAGGCAATGACTGGTAACTTCTGTCCCACTAATCACAATGGTAATTATTCTACCTTTTCTGGGAAACATTCTGGAAATATTTTAAACAGTTCCCACCCTATGACCCAGTAATTCCACTTATAAAATGCTATTCCATGGAAATAACAGAATTCACACAATAATTTAGGCATGTGGATGTTCATGATTATTTGTAATAAAATAGTGGAAACAACCCAAAGGTCCAACAGAAAGAAATCAGTAAAATAAATGAGGACGAATCCTTATGACAGACAGAGCCACTAAATAAATCAGCCTTTTGCAGACTATTTAGCAGCACACAGGGAAATACCACATAAGGAAAAAGAAAAAAGAAAAAACAACAACAGGGTACGAAAGTACACAAAGAATATAATTATTGGGCTGGAGAGATAGCTCAGTGGTTTAAGCACCTGCCTGGCAAGCACAAGGTTCTGAGTTCAATCCCCGGCACACACACACACACACACACACATACACACACACACACACACAAAGGAATATAATTTTTTATTTCCTGTTCTTTATTTCTTCTTCTCAGTTCTATGAATTGAACCCAGGGCCTTTACACTGGACTACATTTTCAGTCCTTTTAAACATTTTTTGAGACAGTTAAGCAACTCAGTTGTCCAGACTGAGCTTGAAAATGCCATTTTCTGGCCTCAGCCTTCCTGTGCACTGGGATTATGGGTGTGCATTACCACATCTGGTTTCTTTCTTTTTAAAAAAGCTACCTAGCTAGCTAGGTGTTGTGATGGACATCTGTAATCCCAGCACTTGGGAGACTGAAGCAGGAGAATCATTGCAAGTCTGAGGCCAGCCTGTGCTGCACAGTGATTTTAAGGCCAGCCTGAACTTCATAGTGAGACCCTGTTTCAGGGAAAGAAAACAAAAACCCAAAAACAAACAAAAAAACCATGTAACTATTAAAAAACAAAACAAAAAAACCAATGTGGGCTGCCGAGATAGCTCAGGCAAGCATAAGGACCTGGGTTCAATCCTTGGTACCACATGTCATGCTGGCCCCACCCAGGGGGCACTGAGCCAGCCACCGAGTCCAGGCATACGTGGCACACGCCTGTAATCTCAGGGCTGGGGAGGCTGAAACAGGAGAATCACTGCTAGTCCGAGCTATGTAGTGAGACCTTGCACCAAATATATAAAAGGAAAAAAAAAATCAAAACCCAGTGGGCAAGGCCCTGGGTTTAATTTCTAGCACTGTAAAAAACAAAACACTTCAAAAAACATCAGATGAGAAAGTAAATATTAAGAGTGCCTATAGTGGGTATATGAGATTGATGGTATTGGTATCTTTGTTTTTCTCTTTTAGACTGATTTATATTTCCAACCTTCTAAAATATATTTTAACTTACCACTTTAAGAATTGGTATCATTAAAAAACAAACCCTCTAACTCCTGAACTGTCAATGAATATGGAGGGGAAAACACAAAGCCAAAACAATCTTTGGTCTTAGGAAATGTAGACTGAGGTAGAGTCAGCAAGGGCAAAAGCACGAAGTGCCTTAGTTTCTCTGCAGCGTCCTTCCCTGGGTTCCCAAGACAGGCCCTGCTAGACCAGGTGCTGTAGGACTTGGACCAAGCTGGCAGTGTGCAGTGCAGGATGGGTTTGCATATTTGACAGCCTCAAACCTACAAATTCCTTTAAAAGAGCTCTCATGGGAAAAGTGACAAAGATACCAAATATATATATTTGGTGACTCAAAGGTTTTCTCTGTAACTTGTTACAAGCTCCAAACGAGGTCTGATTTATACACACATACATTATCTGCCCCCCCCAATACTCCATGAATGCCTTCTGTGACTGCCACCTAACGGAGAAAGTAGAAGGAAGTACCTTCCAAAGGATTTCAGCACGGTCAAGATCAGTGCCCAGTACTCCCTGCATTATTTTTCAATGTACTATACAGTCTTCAAATCTACAAATTTCTATACATTTTTGTGTGTACATATGAAATGCATACAGGTAGACTGACACATACCAATGCATCACGATACATAGCTAGTGGGTGTCATGCACAGACCTCTGGAGCACGCACTTACTTCCTGCAGGCTAAGGCAAAGCGCTCCTGCCTTCAGCAGCCCACACATGCCCTCAGCTTCCAGGCTGTACTCTCCCCAATCACACACAGACTATAACAGTGCCTGCCGACCCTGCATTTGGCGCTTTCAATGTGTATTTTATTTAATGCTCAGAATGATCTGGTTAAGTTGAGGAGGAAGGCAGAGTGGCATGCTTCATGTCCTGCAGGGGGAGAGGCAGAGGCACAGGAAGCTGGCCCTGTTGAGTCTTTCACTCTACCCCAAGGCCTCTTACCTAATTTTAGTAACATGCCTTCCTCTAGTCTCTGACTCTGAAAGTTTGCCAGTTGCTTTCATTAGAGATTTAGCACAAAGCGACTCAGCATGACCTGAGATGCAGAGAGCCACCCAACCCACCTAGAACCCCGTGACCTGGCTGGACCACAGCAGTGGGCTTTGGGCACAGTGCACCAGGGAGTAGCCTTCTGGACAGGCTCAGGGGCGCAGCTGATTTACTTGGTAATCTGGCTGCACTGTTGTTTCTTGTGTCTCTAGATGCTACGGTACAATTCTGGGACTCAGTGGGTGTGCACTATTATTAACTGGGGCTCTGGAGCCCATGAGCCATTTGGAGGTAGCCGGATGGGGCCTGTTTGTTAGTGACTAAGAGGACTAAGGACTGTGAGGATCTGAAAGTGCGTGCCAGCTAACTATGCCACACCACTTGGCGACAATCCTACAGCTCAGCTGGAGCTGCAGCTCTCACATCTGGTGCCAGAGCAGACCAGCAGGCTACAGGCTGAGGACGGTCTGAAAGGGGCGCTCCCAACAGAGATAGGGTGGGAGCTCCGGCAGCGACTCAAAGGTTTTCTCTGTAACTTGTTACAGTCTCCAAACCTGGTCTGATTTACAACCCTGAAACAGTTACTGCTGAGATGTGCCTCTTACGAGATAAAGGTGATCGAAGATAAGGGAGGGCTTGTCCATCTGTCCCAAGATAAGCAGCATTTCATTGTCTATGAATTCCTTGAATTCTTTCAAGTTACAGTTCATCTGTTTCTCTAATTCATTACGGATCTGCAAAGGGGAAAATGTTAGGGATAGTGATTTGTTAAAGAAAACAACTGTCCACCTCCAAGCAACTAAAATCAAAATGCAAACTATGAGTATTTCCAAAAAGGGTGTCTTTCTTCTCCCTCCCTCCCTCTGTTTTTCCCTTTCCCTCAGAGTAACACATTTGGACGCAAGCAGCAAGGGTGACAAGAATTCACGTTACTCAGCCTACAAGTAAACCCAGCTACGAGAAGTTTATGATTTCAAATAAGGAATCTGAATTTCATGAGATCTTTTCTACCAAGTTTAAAGCACTTATCTTTTCACAATTAAATATAAAATATATCAGGACTAGGGCAGCGTTAAGCACCTGCCTGGCAAACGCAAGGTCCTGAGTTTGATCCCCAGTACCAAATAAGTAAATAAATATCAAATATATCACTATGAGACTATAAAGTCAGTTTCCTTTTCCCTGCAAAGGTATCACAATATGATTTCTAAAATATGCTACTAAAATATATATATTAAAGGGCTGGGGATTTATCTCAGTGATGCAGTGCCTGCCTGGCAAGTGTTAGATCCTGAATTTGATTCCCAGTACAAAAAAAGTATTTAGGGGGGCGGGGAGATGGCTTAGTAGAATAAATGCTTCCCTGGCAAGCACAAGGGCCTGAGTTCAATCCCCGGTTCCGCCAAAAAGACAAAAACAAAACAAAACAAAACAAAACAAAAAAGTATTTAGACATATGTAATCATTTTTCTCCACCCAGTTTTAAGTTATTATAATTCACTGCACTCCTAGAACAAAAAGGAACAGTAAACAAACAAAAAAAGCCTCAACCGGTGCAGGAAAACAGTCCAGGAGTTGGAATGTGCTGTTCTGTTATAAACCTGTACAGAAAAAAGTGTTTGGTTTGTGACAGGGTTTCACTATGCAGTTCAGGTTGGCCTTGAACTCCTAGAAATCCTCCTGCCTTAGCTTTCTGAGTGCCAGGATTACAAGTGCACACCACCACACGTGGTTAGAAAGCAGTTTTTTATCTGTCACAGAGAAAACTCAAGGCAAGGCCAGGCAAGGTGGGGCACGCCTATAATCCCAGCACTGAGGAGGATGAGACAGGAGGGTTCCTGAGAGAGAATTTGAGACCAGTCTGGGCTACAAAGTGAGCTCAAGGCCAGCCTGAACTGCACAGTGAGATCCTGTCACAAAAAGACAAAAAAGAAAAAAAAAAAAAAAACACCCCAAGGCAATGTGGGGCAGAAGAGGTGGCAAGGGCATTAATAGCAAATGCTACTAGACACAGCGACACACCTGTAATCTCAGTTACTTGGGAGACTGAGGCAGGAGGATTTCAAGCTTAAGGCCAGAGTGGGCAACTTAGAGACCCTGTCTCAAAATGAAAAATGAAAAGGACTAGAAATGTGGTTCAGCACTTCCTGAGTTCAGTTCTCAGTCCCATGGGTGTGTGTGCATGGGGGGTGGGGGGGTAGTATGTATATGGGGGATAAATGCTTCTGGGTGCAACCCAGGCACCACATGGAACTGTCATGAAAGATCAAACAGGTGAGGTCAGAGAGGGCAAAAAACCACATCCAAAGTCTCACAGCTTTAGTAGTGGCAGCTCTGGAACTAGAGGCAGATTCCAAGGCCAGTGTGCTTTTCACCAAGTCCTGCTGCCCTTGTACAAAGGCAGAGAAAAGCCTGCAAGAGAGGGTAAGAGGATCTGGACATGACAAGGTGTTGTCCAGGCCTGACTCTGCTGCACAAATGTACACCCTGTGACCCCCTGGCCTGCTACCAGAGCAAGAGTCCTCTTACCTCTTTCGAGGTCACATTTTCAAGATCCTGGCTCATCATGATGCTTCGCAGTTTGGCTTTGATGAGACGCTCAGTCCTTTCCCCTTCGGTGGGCCTGGAAAGAAAGAAACTTAGTAAAGCACAGAACTATAGGGTGCCTGAGGTCAGGGGCCACAGCTGCCCTGGGGTGGAGTGGAGTGTGGCCGGGCACGTAGGGCTCACTTCCAGTGTGTTATTTTCTGGGGCTGGGAGAGGTGTGAATGCCTGCCCCATGTCTTATTCCAGGAGGTGCCACAGAGTAGAAGGTAGCGAAGAAGACAAATGGCAGTCTGGAAAGGAAATGCCTGTGTAACATGCCAAAATATGGCATCCTTTAGTGTCTCCTGAACATGGCCACATACACAGCTGAAGCAGCCTGTCATGTCATTCTCATACAAAATCAGTATTGATGTCTTCCTTGTAACTCCTACACACCAGCCCTTTCCAGGGTCACACAAGACCAGGACAGTCCTTCCCTTTCATCTATCTAAAGCAACATCACCTCCTGCCACGCTTTCTCATCAGTTCTTTGCATATTTGAATGCTGCTTCCAGTCATCTGGGCTGCTTCTCTGTCAATAGCTGTCTGCAATTCAGCACCAGCTAAGCATGGTGGTACATGCCTATATCCCAGGACTCTGGGAGGCTGAGGCAGGAGGATCATTAATTTGAGCAGAGCACAGACAACTTACTGATTTAACAATACTCTAAATTAAAACATTAAAAACAGGAGCATGCAGCTCCATGTAAAGGCCCAGGGTTCAATGACCAGTACTATAAAAAACATAAACAAAAGGCATGTCCTAAGCTGGGCATGGTAGCACACATTTATAACTCCAGCACTTGGGAGGCTAAGGCAGGAGGACTAGCAAAAAGTTAGCCTGGGGTACTTAAAGAGTTCAAGGCCAGCCTGAACTACATAGCAAGAGCCTGCCTCAAGCAAAACAAAAATCAGCATTCTAGCAGAATTTTTTTTTCTTTCTCTCTCACTCTCTCTCTCTTTTTTTTTTTTATACCACAAACTGAACTCATGACTTCATGCTTGCCAGGCAGGTGATGTGCCACTGAGCCATATCCCTGGCCCAGGGGAAGAGGTTCTTGATCTAAACAGAACAGCTTTCTTTCTTTTCTCACATTAAACTCTGAAGAGCACGGCCTCAGGCCACATTACTACCACTGGTGACCACATGACAAAGGCCATCCACTTCACTATCCATGCTGCAAAGGCAGACTCTTGGATTAAGGCACCTGAAGAAACAGAGATCATGTTCGCAAGTCTCCTGGAAGTAGAGAGGGAAGCTTTGGAAATTTAAGACTTGCCAATGTGCAAAGGAAAGCCCCAAACACAGAGCACCACCCAGAGAAGGTGAGTAAGTTAACAGCACATGCTTTGTGGTTTGATGGAAGTTAGGGATTTATTCCCCAAAAACACATTCATCATTTGTCTCTAACTTTTATTTGCTTTTGAGTTTTTCTTTCTTTTTTTTTTTTTTCTTTTTTTCTTTTTTTGCGGAACCGGGGATTGAACTCAGGCCCTTGCACTTGCCAGGGAAGTGCTTATTCCACTGAGTCATCGCCCTGGCCCTGTCTCTAACTTTTAAATGGGGTATATGCCACATACCCAATACCCAAAAGTGTCCCAGGAGCCCCAGGTTATATCCCTGTGACAAAAGCTGGTTCTGGGAAGGCAATGGTCAGTCAAGGTTCTTCATGCAGCTGTGCCTGACAGGCCCAGAGCCAGGGAGTTGGGTGCCACACGTACTTGTCAACAAACAGTGCCGGGGAATCGGGCCGCGTGGACTCCAGGTCCTGCATGGCATTCCACTCGTTGATGCAGCTCTGCTCAGACCCAATGCAACTCTCATAGTAGGTGGCCCAGATAAGTGCCACACCACCGGGGAAGTAGTTGTGCCTTCGAGCCACCTCACAGGCCTTGTGAAGCACCTGCAGGGCAGACCTGGGGGTGAAGGTGGGGAAGGTCAGGCCTGGAAAGGCACAAGAAGTGCTGGCTTTTCCCTCTGACAGAAGATTTAAGGTGGGAAGATTTATAAAGGACGCACAAGCTTATATATAAGTGCATGTGTACCACGTGTGGCAGTCTGAGACAGCTGGTAGGACTCAGATCTAGTCCCTGGGAGATACATGTCCGCAAGCATACGCAACATCCTTGTTCATTTCCAAAGGGGTAAAAGATAACAGCAAGCCACCAAAATTTCCTACCTCTTCTAAACAGGCTAGTTTACATGTTACTTTACATTCCTTTAACTCCAAAGAATTATGACTGACTTCTGAAGTTGTGGTATCCTTAATGTAGGAGCCATGATGAAGCCTCATAGCAGAAAAGAAAGATCATACTATACCAGAGCAATCTGAGTGCATCATCCTAATAACTGAACTTCTAGCCTCGCCAGTAGCCCATCGATGTGATCACAGCTTAAGAGGCTTGGCTTCCTCACACAGACACTAACTGCAGAGGACTTCCGGAAAGCACAGTGGGACAGGAGAAAGGACACTAAAAATGTTTCACTATGTCACCCTCTTTTGCTCCTCTGTAAAACTCATGTCTGTTCTGTCATCTCCAGTTGCTCCGGCCACACCTAACAGAGTGCAGTTCCCTTCACTGAAAACGCAGCACCTACCATCTGCCAACTAGATGGAGTGAGTAACATTTTATCACCATGGGCTACAGAGAGGGAAAAATGCACCTTCAACAGTAATTTTTAAAATGCATTTAAAAATGAGTAAAAGACTTGAATAGGTATTTCTCCAATGAAGATACATCACTGGTAAACATGCACATGAAAAAATGCTCAACATCAAGTCATTAGAGAGATGCAAATCAAAACCATGAGCTATCATTTCACAACCATTAAGGTAGTGATCATAAAAAATAAACAAGTTAGGTGCAGTGGTGCACCTCTATTAATTCCAGCACTCTGGAATTATACCTAGAAGTGAAGTTGCTAGATCACATGGTAATTCTGTGTTAACAGTCTCAAGTTTTAGGGGAGCCTTGGCAACTTTAGGGAGACCTTACCTCAAAACAAAACACGGGCTGGGGATATAGAACAGGGGAAGATTACTTTCCTGGCATGCACAGGCCCTGTGCCTGTGTTCAATCCCCATTACTGTAATACAAGCAAACAAAACACACACACACACAAAACAAAACAAAACAGGAATTGACAAAGCTATGTAGAAACTAGAACCTGATATTTTGCTGGTGAGAATATAAAATGGCACAGCCACTATGGGAAAGTTCGGTGATTCTCCAAAATGTTCACACAGAATTACCATATGATCTAGCAACTTCACTTCTAGGTATATAACAAAGGAACTGAAAGCAGAGCCTCCAGTAAATGTACACAGAAGATCACAACAGCATTACTCACACTAGCCCAAAGGCAGAAACAACCCTAACGTTCACCAACAGATGAATAAACACAAAGTGATGCATTCATACCATGGAGTATCAGTCAGCTTTTGAACACATAAGGAAAAATTGGCACATCCTACAACATGAATAAACCCTTAAGCACTATGCTGAGAGGAATGAGACAAATACTGTATAATTTACTTATTTGAGGTTCCTAGAATGGGGAGACTCATAGAAACAGGAAGAACAGAGGTTACAAAGCCTGGGGAAAGGAAAAGAAAATGTTATTAGTTAACAGCTTCAGAGTTTCTGTTTGGAAAGATGAAAAAGTCCTTGCAATAGTATGAATATACTTGAATGGCACTGAATTGTAATTTCAAAATGGTTAAAATACAAATTTCATATTAGGTGTATCTTTCCATACATACCCTTAAATAAGTTTATTAGTAGAGAGGATTTTTCTATTTATGCTGTCATCTAGAAAACTATTTCTGAAGAGTTAACAGTCCCTTGAACCCCACTTACCACATGGCCTGGACAGATACGGGCTTAAATATGTGCATTCTTCCAGCTGTGCTCACACTGAACCCGCTGAGAAAAACAAAAGGAAAGGACCCATGATGAGAAATCAGACCCCTTCAATCACTGTGTACTCTGAAAACAAGCTCATCTAGAGCTGTCTGATGGATTATAGAACCCACTGGAGCACAAACATGGGCAAAAGCTGAAAAAATCCCACCCTAATAGGAAGTCTTGTTTTTAACTTAGCAAGACCAGCTCTGCCAAACACTGAAAGTCTAGCAGACGGCAGAAGCAAGAAGGACTGTGGCACCAGTGCTTGCGTTTCCACAGCTGTTCCTGACCACCCATTACCGCCCCGTAATTGTAAGAAAATATATTGATGGTAGACAAATTTTTTTTAAAAAGGAAAATCTTCACAGAAACCCACCATTTCAACAAATTAAATTTTTAGTTTTCCCTTCCAGGCCTCTCTTTGAAGCTGTGTAAGTTTTACCTGCTTGGAATTGTAGCGCAGGGACAATTTCCCATGTCACTTCTTTCCACTTACCATCTTACCCAGTCTATTCTCCTGGGAGTGAGTGCATGCAGAATGCTGACAACCCTTTGTTCCCTACCTAGGGCGGAACTGTGTCAATCCTGTCAACAGGACCCACAGTAGCACCTGAAGCACTGCTATGGCTGTCAGTTTCATGTCTCTTCCTGAACTCCCAAAACAGTGAGCCCTTGCTGTAACCTGCTCATCTGTGAGCTTCAGGACCCTGCCCTACTGAGCACACACAGTGACAAGTGAAGGCACATGAAGGACGATCAGTGAGCTGCTGCTCTTGAGCCTCACAGTGCAGCACATCAGCAACTCCCTTTCACCAGTAGCACATCACCGAAACTCCCTTACAGAATGTGCAGGATGTGTATCTTGCGAGACTCCCTGGAGGATACCACCATGTCAGGCATGTGATTGATTATCTAAGAAGGCCCAAATCAGCTGGTGCTTCTGAATCTACAGAGAAAAAGTCTCTGAGAGATATGTCCTCACCCGTCACCATCAAGGTGGATCTTCGTATCACTCCACAGTCGGAGAACCATCCCAATGGTGCAGCTCTTACTGCAAGGTGGGAAGAGAAGACATCGGAGTCAGTCTACCTATAACCATGTATGGGCTTCCCTGCTCTCCTCACTCCACCTGTCCAGCTCACAGACAAGCTCCACTGACCTATGGCAGACTGCGGGGTGTAGACAGCGGTGCTCATGCAACTTGGGCAGGCACCGCTCATCAATTAATTCTAAAAGACACTGGTCTGGGGTGACTGTGCTCAAGGCAGCCATCAAGTGGCTGCATCATTTTTTGTGTGTGGATGTAACTATCAGCCAGAGGCTCTTGGGGTACAGGAACAACCAAATGACCAAGTACCCATACTTTGGCAGGAAGAAGTTGTGATGACTGGTGCTGTGCTGGTAGAGGGCCAGACCTAGCTGAGGCACTGGGGCAAGTGGTGGCAGCCAACCCCAATCTCATTATTCTTCGGTGACTGTAGAGAGGACAGTGCAGTTCATTTTCAGACTTCTGGTTTTCTATGTTTTGTGTAGCTACCATTTCATAAACTAGCTGGATCTGGTTTTGTTTTGCCCATGCTAACAGTGAAATGATACTTACCGACTCTAGAGACTGGTGCCACAAACACAGAGGGAAAGAAAGGGCTTATTATCAGAGGGGCTCCTCAGATTCTTAAGAAAATTCTTTAGGCACTTAAAAAAAACAGCTGGCTTGTCACAAACTGCTGCAACAATGCCAAAGGCTGGCCTGACACCCACCTACAATCCTGAGCTCACATCTCTGCCACTGCTTAACAGCCTGCTGGGAGCTGGTCGCACTTGCTCACACGCCTGACTGGACATGGAGCTTGGGCGCTTAGTACCTGGTCCTTTACCAGAGCAATGCTTACCCCACAGACCTCCTACAATCTTGGGCTTTTCATCTGGGGGTAAGGTCATTTCAAGCCTGAGCCTTGGATTGAGCAGATTCTCTACCTACTCTTCTTCCTATCCTGAAGTCCTACCCAGTCTTGGTGGTTCCCTGTATTTCTCTTGCAGAGCTTCAAAATTAGTTTGTGTTGGGGCAGGGGAGATGGCTCAGTAGAATACGCGCTTGCCTGGCAAGCACAAGGACCTCAGTTCAATCCCCGGTTCTGCCAAAAAACAAAACAAAACAAAACAAAAAAACAAAGTAAGTTTGTGTTGAGCTTCACAGGGCTCTCCAAACTACTCAGCTGTGTCCATGTCAGGAAGGACTGGTCCTTTGGAGCTTAAATCTGATAAAGCAGAATGCTCAGGAGGGTGCACTGCAAACTAAGCCCGGACTAGTAAAGCATGGACATCACAGCAGAGAGAACTGCACTGAATACAGGGTGGGAGACCAAAAGGCTCAGGTTCAGAATTAGATGTATATGGAAAGTAGGGAATGGATGTAGTTAGGGGAAAAGGATCTCTTCAGGGTAGAAAGAACCAGAGGATGGGCCGACGAGATAGCTCAGCAGACTACAGTGTCTGCTTAGGCAAGCTTAGACAAGCGCAGGGACCGCAGTTCGATCCCAACACATGCCATGCCAGCCCTGCCCTGAGGGTGGGCTGAGCCAGCAAGAGTCCGGGCATAGTGGCACACGCCTGTAATCCCAGTGCTGGGAAGGCTGAAAGCAGGAGGATCGTAAGTCCAAGCTATGTAGTGAGACCCTGTAACAACCAAAAATACATATATAAGAAAGAAAGAGACAGACAGACAGACAGACAGACAGACAGACAGACAGACAAAGAAAAGAACCAACCAAAGGATAAAGAGGGACTCTGGTTGGAGCAACTAACGGAGGAGAACGCAGGTCCCAAGTCCCCAGAGTCTGTACAATAGGAACAGGGTACAAGCAGGGGGCAGCCTATCACAAGGATCTGCTCTGGAAGGCCTCACAGATGGAAGGACACTAACATGTGGAGGACAGTGGAGCATGATCACAGAACTCAAAATGGTCCTGTACCTGAAATAAAAATTAACCCAAGATCAAGTCCAGGAGTGGTGCCTGATCTTCAGTACATGCGAGCTACCCCGACTTGCCGTTACTTCAGTACTCTTCTAATGGAGCACATGGTCACCTTCTCACTGGGAGCCCAAGAGGATACCCTCTGGGGCAATGCTCCTCCCTCCCTTCCTCTTTTAGACTAAGGGAAACAAAATCTCATAGCACAAATTTAAGAAAACAAGAATACTATGGCCTCCATAGGCCAAAGGCTTTTGGCAAGGGCTAGCTAGGACTTTGTTTCAGACCAAGGGAGAATAGGAGAGCCTGGCGCTTCCTTGTTGGTAGGCCTGATGCAGCTGTGGCGGGGCCCTCCGTGCTTGGGAGGAACACATGAGGGGTCTCCCGAGTCCAGGTTCCTGCTCACCTGCCTACCAGGGGGATCCTGGTGTGCTCACTGCAGCCTCCTGAGCTTCTGACTGCTCACTTACACAACGACAGGCAGGGCTCCCCACTCACAGGGAAATTTCAGGATTAAATTTCACAGGGATGGAAGGTGATGTTCACAGTGCTTTTGATCAACTGTGTTGTACTTTGCAGCTTTAGCCAGGGATGTCTAATAGGAGGCAGGCTAGACTCTAAGAGCCTTCACAATCAGGATCAACATCAAAGTGCAGCCCAAAGGAAGCAAGTTTCAGTTCAGGGGGAGAAACAATTACTAAATAGACTCTGGTGGTAAGAAATCTCTCCTCTGGAAAAATTTCCCAAGGACTGGGTTGTCATGTGAAGACAACTGTAGCTGCAACACTTAAATACAGAATGTGTCTGCCTCGCAGCCCCCAAGGAAGGGCCCTCATCATGTCTGGGAGCAGCTGCTTAGTGGCATCACGCCACAGTGCCCCCAAGCCCTCTAGTTTGCAAGTGTCTCTTCAGAGCTCAACTCCTGGCACAAGGTGATCTGTGTGTTCATCCACACTTAATTCCCAAATAGCCTGGGGCCACAGGTGGCAGCTCCAACTTTGATCCACCTAAGTATGCTGCAGAAAACTTCTAAATGATGCAACGAGGTGTTCCACAGAAATACACAAAAGCACAGTCCTAACAAGCAACAGGATCTACGTTACCACCTATAATTCAGAGCAGCTTGCTCACACCAAGGAGATACAAGTGTCCCCTAAATGTGGCCATTCACAGCCTCTGGGATTTATTCTGCTCCACTCTACCTGGCCCTGCTCTACCTTTGAACTTGCCTTGCTACCCACTGGTCTGGTATGAACCAGCTGAAGAGCACTGGCTCCTCTGGCTTACAGCCACTCCACTGTGTCCACACAGAGAGAAGCAGGGTGTCTCCATCACTGGGCCTCTTACCCTCATGGCTAGTAACAGCTGTTTTCTGAGCTAGCTGGTATCTCTTTGAGGCCAAGAACTGTGCGCTGCTGCTTCTTTGCTTCAGGGGCCTCACCAACTGCTTGGTACACCAGAGAATGCCAGCAAACTATCTGCTCAATGAATGAGTAGATTAGTGGCAATGAGTAAGTAAGGAGTCTGCGTTGGTCTAGTTTTCATAGATTCATGGTTAGCATGATGTGCAGGAGTACATCCCAAATGTCACATGAATGGTTTACATATGTAACATGTCCATGATATAACCCCAGTGGCCTCTGGTAGCTGGGAAACTGCAAGCTACTCCTAAAGCCAGACCAGGATCCTGCCCCAAAGTACTTGAGGCCTGTGATACAACCTTTTTAGACCAGGTGCTCGATGTTAAACCAGCAGGCACATTCTGTCATACAGGCCTTGGAGCCTGAAACATGCCCTCTACGCCTGTCAGCCTAGAAAGCATCTTCTCTGCTTCCAATGCTAACCCTGGCTTATCCTTCTTGGGCAGCACAGTGTCTCTTCCTTCAAGAAGCGTCCAGGCTAATGTGCTCCTTGCTATGGCTTGCATAAGGCTGCAGTGTTTCCTAGAGGTCCATGTGGTGGAAGCTTGGTCCCCAGTATGGTAGTGCTGAGGTGGTAGACCCTTCAAGAGGTGGGGAGGTCTGATCTCCAGGACCTCATGCCATGCGGGCCCCAGCTGCCAAAACCAGGTGTGGTGGTACACTCCTGTAATCCCAGAACTGGAGAGGCTGAGACAGGATGATCACTACAAGTCTGAACTGCACAGTGAGACCCTGTACCCAATAATATATATAAAAAAAAGAGGAGAGGCCTAGTAGAAGGTAATTAAGTCATGGCTTCATTGTGGAAGGAATTGAGGCTGACTTCATAGGGCAAGTTAGTTTTCACACACGCTAAACACAAGCTCTACCAGTAGTAGAGCAAGTTGCTATAAAAAGATCAAGCCTTAGGGCTGGCAAGATAGCTCAGTGATCTAAAGCGCCTACTTAGGCAAGCTTAGGCAAGTGTGCAGGAACCGTGGTTCAATCCCCAGCACCACCTGCCATGCCAGCCCTGCCTCCAGGGTGGGCAGAGCTGGTCACACACGGGCACACACGCACACACACAACAAGATCAAGCCTCACCCCTGGATCTCTCTCTCATGATGGTTTCCTCATCATGTGATCTCGTCTACATATTCCCACCACTGGGATGCCATCTCTCATCAGCCCCTCCCCAAACAGATGGCGCTGCATCATCCTGGACTTTCAGCTTCTAAAATAGTGAGCTAAATAAACTTCCCTTCTTTATAAAATACCCAGACTCAGGTATTCTGTGATTCTAACAAAATATAGACAGACGTCCCTCCTCTTCTATAGTTCCCAGTGTTAAAAGTACTGTGTACTTTTCAGTCTTCTTAATATACTCTAAGTTTCCCAACAGCAAAGACTGCATCCAACACTGTACCCAAGCATGAGAGCCGGAACGGTAACCCTCTCCTCCCAGGGCCTCAACCTCCATCTGTTCTCCATCAGGACACATGCTCATCTCCCAGGAATATGGGACAACACGGAAACTATTCAGTAGTAGTTGCTGTGCCCCTCCCTCCCAAAGGAAGCGTTATCCCATGAGACTCACCTTTCCTTACTGGAGAAATCAACTCCCAGCAAAATATTCTCTTCAGTGTCCTGGCGCCCACTGCTGTACACCACCACCATGTAGCGCACACGGTCTGCCCAGGCACTCTCTAAGCGCACGGCCTGCGTAGGGCAGGGATGTCCTCATTGGTCTGCTCTCTGGGGCAGCCCTCCCCTCCACCTTCCTTCCACCAAAGCAAGAACAAGAGCTTAGCAAAATGTGGTACGCATACTTATACCCTCAGCACTCGGGGAAGCTGAGACAGGAGGATCATAACTTCCAGGCCGGTCTGGTCTGGGTAATTCAGTGAGTTAGTGAGACCCTCTCAAAATTAAAAAATTAAAACTGTTGGGGTTGCAGTTCAGTGCAAAGCCCCCAGGTTCAATCTCCAATATTAAAAATAAAACAAAACAAAATAAAAACAGACCAAGAACTTCAGTACTCTCCCATTCTTTCCATGAAGGAAGAAAATTAGTGATAAAGATGAAATATTTGAAAGCAAGAGCCAGGTTTCACTTCTATCTAAAGTGCTAGGAAGAGTGCCCAGCTCAGAGGGAACACTCAGAACATGTAAAGTGAGTATACAAATTAAATCTAGAGATAGGATGGCATTTGGCAGACTGCTGCAGAGACGTGACACACCCTCTGCTGGTCCCATGCAGTAAATGTGCCTTTGGCTTTTTTTTTTTTTTTTTTTTTTGGTGCCAGGGTGGAACCCAGGGCCTCATACAGGCTAAGCACATGCTCTACCACTGAACTGCACCCCAGCCTGGTGGTAGCTCTCGGGATCAATATGAAAGAAGACAAAAAACCTTTCCCCTTCCTACTCATGAATGGCTCCCCACCAAATTTCACAATTAAAAATGAAAACTTGCCACTTTGATCTCTTCTTACCAGCTTGATTCTGTCTTCACAACGCAGAAGGTTGATCATTACTTGCAGATGTTGGGGTAGGTCACCTGTGGGACCAGTGAAGAAAGTTATAAGTCATTCACATACTTTTGAGGAAGAAACCTAGATGCTGAGTGTGAGGACCTAAAAGATTTTGAAGTGAAAAGTCTAACTATAGCATAGAAGAAATATAAAACCTCCCTTCTGGATATCTCTTACTCTGCTCTGGAATGCTGTACCAATGGAGATCCGTGATTTACAGCTTGCAGCCATACTGCGAAGCTACTCTTATTTTCTCAAATACCCTCAATGTGGGTGTTTTCAATACAAAATTTGGGTGTGTATTTTTAGGGAAGGGTCTACAGGGTGTTCAGGTCTCACTACTAGATCGGGCTCGTAGTAATCCACCTGTTTACAGCCTCCCAAGAGCTTCAACACAAAATCTGGACAACACAGATTAGTCTAGAGAAAAATGTTATTTTGTTGAAGCAAACATTACTTGGTAGCGTGGGAGGTAGATGTGACCAAAATAAAGGATTTGCCAAGAGTTAATCCAAAAGAAGCCAGGGTGGTGGGGGTTGGAGTGGGCCACAAGTTCAAGTCCAAGGCCAGCCTGCGCTACAGAGGGAGTCTGTCTGTCTGTCTTTCTTTAGAGGCAGGGTCTCTCTCTGTAGTTCAGGCTGTTCTTGAACTTAGTATGCTTCACACTCTAGCCTTGAATGCACAGCAAGCTTCCTACATCAGCTTCCTGAAAGCTGAGATTACAGGTGTGTGAGACGTTCTCAAACAAAACAACATCTGAAACTAAAAGCACTGAGTGCTATTTTCCCTCTAAACTCTTCTGAATTTTCCATGAGAACAGTATTTTTTACACCTGTGAAGAAATATCTTAAGTGTCTCTACAGATGTTGCCTTTATGGTCACCCAGAGAAGTAATTTGATAATAATCTGCCATTTGTACTTTTCTTGCTAAAAACTATGTATTATCTCTTTTATCTTCATTATTTAAAAAAGGCAAAAATCTAGGGCAGCCTTTTTTTTGGCGGGGGAGGAGGGATACTAGAAATTGAATTCAGGACCTTGTGTTTGCCAGGCAGGCACTACAACACGGCTATATCCCTGGTCCATAGGGCAGGGTTTTTTTTTGTTTTAATAATATTTTTTTCCACTGAGACGTGGTCTATGTTGCCCAAGCTGGCCTGGAGCTCCTAGATCCACCTGCCTCTGTCTCCCATACAGTTGTAACTACATGCACACACCACCGTACCTGGCAAGCACAGGCTTTTGAATTTTTCTGAGCTGCTCTGGGGTCTAGGAGGTATCTCTAGCCTGGATTTTTCTAGGTGCTAAGCTGGCCAGAAGTAAGCTAAGTGGAGGAGGGAGGGTGTTCCAGGTGGGAGGGCTTTTATAACTGAGGTGTGTCATCAGTAAGAAGCAAACACAATGATTTCACTGCTTCTTCCTTCCTTACTCTTCTTCCCTTCCTCCCTCACCTCTCCTTCCCTCCTTTTCTCCCTCCCTCCCTTGCTTCCATCCATCAGTTCTGGGGATCAGGTCCTTGAACATGCTAGTAAAGTCCTGTATCACTGAGCCGTATTTCCAACATGTTAATTTTGTATTTCATTTTGGGACAAGGTCTGGCTCTGTAGGCCAGGCTGGCCTGAAGCTTGCAATCTTCCTGCCTCAGCCTCCCAAACAGCTGGGATTATAGGTGTACACTATTGTATCCAGTTTTGCAATTTTCTTAATGTATGTGTGAAGTAATGATCTAGGAAAAAGGTACAAGGAATAACTCATTGAAAAATCACACTAATTTCAACTTTGTGCAATACCCCCAAGACACTATATTACTTGTTTTCTAAAAATTACCCTATAAAACAAATGAGACCCCTACAAATGAAAACACTGTATTTGTTCTTATTATGAAAACAGCTTTTATTTTAAAGCAGAATGAAATTTGATGTCAAAATCACACTTCCTGGGGCTGGTGAGATGGCTCAGTGGTCTAAAGCACCTACTTGAAACAAGCTTGGCAAAACACAGGGACTGCGGTTCAATCCCCCAGCACCACATGCCAGCCAGCCCTGCCCCCTGGTGAGCTGAGCTGGCCACACACACTAAATAAATAAATAAATAAATAAATATTAAAAAAAAAAAATCACACTTCCTGTCTCAGAGGGGAATAGGGTATGTAGTAGGAAGACAGATTTCACATTAGGTGTTCTTTCTGCAATAAATACAATTTTAAAAAAGGGAGGTACCCCTCTTATCTGAATTTCCCAGTAATAGGATTCCACAGTGTAAAAACCCTCCAGTGGTGTCCATAAGCTCTCTGTAAGGAATAATCTGGAGACAATGGTCCATGATAAAGAAGGACGTGGAGCTCCCCATCCCTCTTCTTCCACCTACAAGGCACCCACCTGTCATGTCTCCAGTGCCATGAGACCATCGAGCCAGCAAGTTGGTTCTTAGCTTACTCAGGTCTCCTACCATCCACCCAGGTCTCAGAACCACAGACAAAAGCAAATGCACTCCCATGTCTAATCAATGCTTATATGAAAGGGGCATTTTCCACGCAGATAACTCCTTTCAGTGAGATTATCTGCCGAGATGTGGAACTGCTGACAGACAGAAATCCAAACTCCACTGACACCCACACACATATAAATCAGAGAACACAGTGTCAAATACAGGTTCTGCAAAGAACATGCCATTGGGCTGGAGAGATGGCTCAGTGGTCTAAAGCACCTACTTGAAACAAGCTTGGCAAAGCACAAGGACCGCGGTTCAATCCTCCAGCACCACATGCCAGCCAGCCCCGCCCCCTGGTGGGCTGAGCTGGCCACACACACACACACACACACAC